TGGCTCTCAGACACAGTCTCATTCTGAGATTCCTGGAGGCAGGGTCGCCAGTTTTAGATTGAGGTCGAGGTAAGAGCCAGTGGCTGGCTGTTTTGCTTTTCTGGTCTTCAGGGTGAATCCCAATATCAGTCTCTGAGCTTTTCTTAATTGCACATCACTCCATATTCTTCCTTGCCAGAGTGACTAGAAAAAGTCCATTGTTCAGATACAGCGTTGATCAATGATGACAAGAGGGAGTGAGTGGCTGACACCCTGGGGAGAGGGTGGAAGGAGCCTGGAGTGTTTTACTGTATATTCCTGTACTGTTTGAGTCTCTCCCAGTGAGTGCTTATTATTTTTGAAATTTAAAGAAAGGAAAATAAATTTAAAACACGAAGGGCGAAGATAGGTCAATGGCAGAGTTTCAACTTAGCTGCCAGTGTCCCAGGTTTGCCTTCAATACAGAAACAACAAAGAGAAACATAAGAAGTGATCTCGGGCTGCTTTTGTATACTTGTTCATTTTATGATATTTTTAAAACGTTATTTTTTCCCCTGGGATGAGCTACTGTAAAGATAATAGCAAACGCTGTCCTGTTGATAAAAGAAATGATTGATAAACCGTCGTGCAGACGATTGCACGAAGGGAGCATGTAATTGTGTTTCCACTGAAGCTCATTTTTCAAAATGCTGGCTAATTTATCATTTGTTCATGAGTTTGGTCTTATGTTATCTCCTTGTTTTCGCAAATGCTATAATCATTTGAAAAGCAAATCCTCAAACTGTTGCCTGCTTAACATAATTTAAAAACCCCAAGTATTCTTTGATTTATTTTTTATGTGTATTTTGTCTTTTTCTTGTGACCCAACAGAATCTCTTCTGAGGACTAAACTCAGGAGACATGCATTCTTTTGTTGTTTTTTTTTTTTTTTCGAGACAGGGTTTCTCTGTGTAGCCTTGACTGTCCTGGAACACACTCTATAGACCAGGCTGACCTCAAACTCTGTCTCTGCCTCCTGAGTGCTGGGATTAAAGGCGTGTGCTGCCACCTGGCTGAGACACACATTCTAAATACTTAATCTCAGTGGGCATCGTGGAGCAGACCTTATCCCAGCACCCAAGAGGCAGAAGCAGGCGGATCTCTGAGTTCGAGGCTAGCCTGATCTACAGAGTGAGTTCTAGGGCAGTCAGGCTATATAAAAAGATCCTTTCTCAAAAAGCAGAAACAAAACGAAGCTATACTAAGTTAGATGCTCAACCTCCTATGGCCAGCTGTTCTGGTTAGCATTAATTGTCAATCAGTTGTGCCAGAGTCTAGAATCGTTGGGCTGGAGAGGGAGGGGTAAAGAGTATAAGTTGAGTTTGTCGTTGTCTGGTGGATCTGTGGCCCAGCTGCTGAGGAATGTCTCGATTGCCTTACGATAGTGCCATTGTCAATGAACTAGCCGGGAGCTAGCCCAGCCTTCCTCTAGGGTTTCTGCTTCAGGGTCTTGCTTGAGTTCCTGCCCTGACTTCCCTCAGTGATGGACTGTGACCTGGAAGTGACATCAGGACAGGCTGTTTGGGGTTGTATTTCATCTGTAGGTGCACAGATAGGCCATGCCTTTAATTTTATTTATTTAAAGTCAGGGTTTCTCTGTGTAGCTCTGGCTGTCCTGAAACTCACTACATAGACCAGGCTGGCCTCGAAGTCATAGCAATCCACCTCCTCTGCCTCCACAGTGCTAGGATTAGGCGTGTATAGTCATACCTTTAAAATTTTAGGAACCCAATATATCCCTTGGCTCATGGTCCCTCGCTTCTTCTCTATAGCAACACCTCTGCTTCCCTTCGTTCTACATCACTGTGACATCTCTGTGTCATGGCGTCTGTCTTAGTCAGGGTCTCCGTTGCTATGAAGAGACACCATGACCACAGCAACTCTTATAAAGGAACACATTTAGTTGGGGGGCTCATAGTTTCAGAGGTCCAGTTCATTATGATCATGGTGGGGAGCATGGCAGTGTGCAGGCAGACATGGGGCTGGAGGAATAGCTGAGAGTCCTACATCTTGAAGGCAACCAGAAGTTGACTGAGACCCTGAGCAACATCCTGAGCCTAGGAATCCTCAAAGCCCGCCCCCACAGTGACACACTTCCTCCAAGAAGACCATACCACTCCAACAAAGCCACACTTTCTCAACAGTGCCACTCCCTATGGGCTTATGGGGGCCGATTCACTCAAACTACCAGTGTCCTATGGGCATCTCTACCCTAATTCTCCGGCCTTAATCATGTCAATAAGCCCTGTCATCACTTTGGGTTATGTACATAGCCCATAATAGTTTCCTCATTTTGTGATACCCCTTTTCACGACGTATGAAAACACACTCACAGGTTGTGGGGATTAGGACACGGAAATCCTCGCGGGAGGCATCATTCATCCAGTTGCCTAATTTGATAGCACAGTAAATCCATTTCTCTTCCTCCTTCCTCCTTTTGTTTTTAATGGTACACTCACCATGAGACCAGTGACCTGTGAGCCCTGCCATTCTTAATTTCTCTTCTCTCTTTCCCATCCTCCGGTTCCAACGTCACAGCCTCTCCTCCCACTTCCAGCTCTCATCCAAAGCTCATCAGATGTGGTCTTGTTGCCACCCCCCATCTCTACCCAGATTTATCCCTTTCACTAATTTCCACTAAACACAGAATAATGTCTGAAGTATCCCGGATCCCCAGGCTGGCTCCCTGCCCCTCTCTTCCACTCTTGGGTATTCTGAGTTAATTACAGCCCTGTACTGTGTGTGTCATAAGTGACACACACAATGCCACGGGACTAGATCTCAATCGCTTTCCTTCAGCCGTACGGAGCTGGAAGGGAAGCCTTACATCCTAGAAGACACTGGAGAGAATCTGGGTTGTTTAGAGATAGTTATCTCGAAAGGCAATTAGGATTTTAATGACCGGTTTCAGTCTGTTTTGTTCATCTGGTTGAGGAGTTCCTCTTGTTTATTGGGAAGAAAGAATGAAATTAGGCTCTGGTTATCCCAGCCACTCTTTCCCCTTCCTGAAGAAAGGGTTATGTTTTAAAAAGTTGCAGGTGGCTGCTTCCTATCATGTAAATAAAGTGTACTTTGTCAGATTTGACGGGGTGTTTGGGAAGGTGTCAAGGGAACAGCAACTGGAGAAGTGAGTACCACCTCTGAAACAGTAGCTACGTGCAGGCTTCTGGACCTACTGGGAACTCTTTCTGTAATGTCCCCACTGTGGGAGGATGGCTCTATGGCTTAATCAACCCGAGGGGGAAACCAGGTCAATACTCGAAGCAGTCTCCTACTTGCTACAAAGAAAAAAAAAATTGGATGTCACTAACCATACACATCCCCCTCCTGCTTGTAGGGGAAAAAAATGTTTACTAGATTTTCGGCAATTTTTATTTATTAAAGTCCTACCTTAATTAAAATTTCTCAAGACATCAGAAAAGGAAAGGTAGCGCCTATGAAAATGAGATACTCCAAGAAGTAACGTATTCTGCAGATTAAAATTGATTTTAAATCAGAAGCGCTGTGCTGCGCCCTCCCAAAGCAGAGGATAAAGATGCCCTTGTTTATGTCCTCCCTCTCTGCCAGAGTGATGCTGCTGACTACACCACTTGCCTGTGACTGCTTGACATTTTAGTTTTGTGAATACAAATGTCTATTGATTTTTTTTCCCTCTTCAGTAACGTATTAACAAGTTCCACACCCCCACACGTTGGCTTATACGTTCCATCTTGTGTTTTAGCGACTGAAACAGAGAATGTATATAACGACTTTGAGTCTTGTTTTGAAATGCAATCACAAGTATTGTTCGGATCTTTAGAGGGCCCCAAATACATCACGGACAAGTCGATATTTAGGCTACGCAGGAGATATACTTCCCCGTTCGTTTTTAGAAAGTGGCATTAATGAGCTATAACTCATGTGCCATGCAAGTCACCCATTGCCTGTGAATTTTTCTCTCCTGGTGCTGGGGATACGGACCGGGGCTTTGCTTGTCATGGTCTGTGTTCCACCGCCAAGCCACACCCCAAATCCTAATTTTAAAACCATTCCCTATAGTTCTTTTAATGTATTTTGTTGGTATTCTTTGCTTTCTTTTCTAAGCAGCAGACAGAAATAAGTGTATTGAGATGAACAAAAGGAAGTATTTTAGGTATGAAGGGTGGACAGGATAAGGCCATGAGGTGGAAATGGGCTGAAGGATCGAGAACGTGCTCTGGGTGTCTAAATGCTGGACTTTAATTCAGTGTAAGAAGCAGGCTGTGGCTTTCTTGGATCACTGTGGTCAGCGGGCTCCAAGGGCAGTGCCGACAAGGAGCAGGAGAGGAGGGTAAAAAAATATGTGTCAGGTGGAATCACATTACTCTTTTTTTGTTTTGTTTTTCAAGACAGGGTTTCTCTGTAGCTTTGGAGCCTGTCCTGGAACTAGCTCTTGTAGACCAGGTTGGCCTCGAACTCGCAGAGAGCCGCCTGCCTCTGCCTCCTGAGTGCTGGGATTAAAGGCGTGCGCCACCACTGCCTGACTCCACACAGGAATTTTAAAAGAGCAAAGCTGCTTATATGCACTCCTTGTTAAAGACTGAGGGTTAGAGGAATTTTTGGTAAGAAATCCATCATGCAGCAAAACAGACCCCTTATGGAGTCCCCTGAAGACCCATTCTTACGCCATTTTGATTTTTTTTTTTTTAGCTTGCTTTTCTAGTAGTTATTTAACTCAGATTCACAAATATTTATTCATAGAAAGCATCCTTCCTCCCTCATAAGATTCATTATTCTGGGATAAAAATAAAAAAATATCATACACAGAAGTGGTAGCCTTATTTATTAGCTGTTTGCATTCTAACCACTAAAACATAAGAAAATCAAGAACCTTGAAAGCAAAACCATGGAATCTCAGTGACTCTCTTAAGAATTCTCTGCACAAGGCTTTATTCTCCACAGTCCCATCCCATTAGTTCCCCAGCAGGATCAGCTCCACGTCCCGTCTTGGTATCATGTTAGGGTCAAGGTTCAGGGGGATCCCAGGAGAGCCAGAGAAAGTAGTACAGCAGGGAACAAGAAATCACATAAGTACAGTCACCACCGGAGCCCCGTGCTCTCGAGATAATGGCTTTGATCCATTTATGGTAGTAGGTCACGTTAACGTAGACTCCAGGAAGATTTTTGCCACATTCCAAACCCCAGCTTACCACACCCATCAGGATCCAGACACCATCAATGTGGCAAGACAGAGGTCCTCCGGAGTCACCCTGAGGGAGAGAAAGGCCAGAGTTCAGCAGTGAGAAGGCCTGGGATGAGGCTGAGGGGCCTTGTCAGTCAGGAGGGATGGAGAGTTCTTCAAAACCAGACCTGAACCCTGAGCTGTGCAGCAGCAAGGGAGCTGGACTTCTCGCTGCTTCCGGGAGAACTCAGAGGAGTTCTGGAATCAATGGAATTTGAAATTCACAGGGACCTTAGAAAAATGCATTAGTTGTTTCCAAATAGTCATTTGATATGCCATGAAAAAGCAAGGGAAAATTAATATGATGTTTCTTATTAAGGTTTTCACTACAAAGCAAGACTTCACGAGTGTAAAACACGACCCTTGTTTTCTCCATAGGTTCTTATTTTCTTTTTAGTGTTGGGTTCATTTCTCCGTTGGTATGATCACAGCCATCAGTGGGTTGTATCTTGTTTTGTTTCTTTGTCATGTAACAGCTTTAAGAGTTCATGTTCATTCTCAGCTCACTTTCTGTGTGTCTCATCTTAGGCTCATCCACACAGTTTTGATTACTGTCGCTTTGTAGAAAGCCTTGGAATCAGAAAGGTTGAGTCTTTCAACTTTCTTCTTCTTTTTCAAGACTGTTTATGGCCCCTTGAATTTCATATGAGTTTTAGTATCAGCTTATTAATTTCTCTATCTAGCTATTTTTTTCCAATTTTATTTTAAAACAAACTTTGGCTTTTTTCCCCCCTTTTTTTACTTTTTATTGTTTTTCTGTTCTGTGCTTCAGTAAATAAAATCATTATTTCTTTGTTCTTTCCCAGGTCTAGTTTGCTCCCCGACTCCCAGAACTGTTCCCCCTCTCCCTCTCCCCCTTCCCCCTCTCCCTCTCCCCCCCTCCCCCCTCTCCCTCTCCCCCTTCCCCCCTCTCCCTCTCCCCCTTCCCCCTCTCCCCCCCTCCCCCCTCTCCCTCTCCCCCCTCCCCCCTCTCCCTCTCCCCCTTCCTCCTCCTCCCCCCTCCCCCCTCTCCCTCTCCCCCTTCTCCCTCTCCCCCCTCCCCCCTCTCCCTCTCTTTAGTGGCTGCCTTTCCTTTCCCCCTTTCTCTTCAGCGTTCAGATTGAAACCAGGATTTTGGATGGACTGGGCAGGTCTGTGCCACTACACTGTGTCCTGCCTCCTTTCCCAGTGTCCTAATGTAGAGATTAGGTTCTTCACTTGAGAAATTCTTGTTTATAGAACTGACATTTACAACTATGAGTTTCTCAAACTACCGCTTAAGGTCTGAAAGCTGTGTCTGGACTTCATTTCTATCGACATGTTTCCTAATTTCTGTGGTGATTTCTTCTTTTGGCTCATTGGTTATTTAGAAATATGTTAACTACCACAGATCCGAATTTTCTCTATTTTTGTGGTACTTTTATTCTGTTACTCTATTTTATTCTGTTGTTATTAGAGACCCTGCCCTGTATGATTTGAATCCCCCTAACTGTACTGAGGCTCAGCTTGCAGCCTTAGATAAATCTGTTCTTGAGAATGTTCGGTGTGCATTTAAAGTGTGTTCTATTCTTTGCTGCTGATCTCAGAGCAACTCCGCTGCCGTTGAAATATAAAAGCCAACTCCATGAAGGCAGTGGAGAGGGGTCAAAAGCAGACAGCAAGTGGCATTAATCTTCAGAAGAAAAAGAATAATACTTTGTTTTTAAGTGGATTTCTCTTAAACAGGCCTATCCCTAGCTTATCTGGTAGCTAGAACTTAAATAGAAACCCACAGTCTTCCTGACTTGATATCCAGAGACAGAGCTCAGAGCTACCATAGGCAGTTAGAAGGAGAACAGTAAAAAAGCAGTCTATAGATTCAATGCAATGCCCAGCAAAATTCTTCACAGACTTCGAAAGAATGGTACTCAACTTATGGAAAAGCAAAACACCCATGATAGCCAAAACAGTCCTGTACAATAAAAGAACTTCTGGAGACATCACAATCCCTAACTTCAGACTCTACTACAGAGCTACATTACTGAAAACAGACTGATATTGGCATAAGAACAGACAGGAGGACCAATGGAACTGAATAGGAGGCCCAGATATTAATCCACACACCTTCGAACACCTGATTTTTGACAAAGAAGCAAAAAATATCAAATGGAAAAAAGAAAGCATATTTAACAAATGGTGCTGGCATAACTGGATATCAACATGTAGAAGAATGAAAATAGATCCATATCTATCACCATGCACAAAACCCAAGTCTAAATGAATCAAAGACTTCAATATAAACCCAACCATACCAAACATCATAGAAGAGAAAGTGAAAAGTACACTTGAACTCATTGGTACAGGAGACCACTTTCTAAATATAACCCCAGTAGCACAGACACTGAGAGAAACAATTAATAAATGGGACCTCCTGAAACTGAAAAGCTTCTGTAAAACAAAGGACACAGTCAACAAGACAAAATGACAGCCTACAGAATGGGAAAAAAATCTTCACCAACCCCACATCAGATAGAGGTCTGATCTTCAAAATATACAAAGAACTCAAGAAATTGGTCATCAAAAGAACAAATAATCCAATAAAAATATGTAGTACAGACTTAAACAGAGAACTCTCAACATAAGAATCTAAAATAGCTGGAAGACACTTAAGGAAATGCTCAACATCCTTAGTCATCAGAGAAATGCAAATCAAAACAACTCTGAGATTCCATCTTACACCTATAAAAATGGTCAAGATCAAAAACACTGATGACAACTTATGCTGGAGAGGATGTGGGGTAAAGGGAACACTCCTGCATTGCTGGTGGGAATGCAAGCTGGTACAATCCCTTTGGATGTCAGTGTGGTGATTTCTCAGAAAATTAGGAAACAACCTTCCTCAAGACCCAGCAATACCACGTTTAGGTATATATCCAAAGGATGCTCAATCATGCCACAAGGACATGTACTCAACTATGTTCATAGCAGCATTGTTCCATATTCCAGGTCATAGCCAGAACCTGGAAATAACCTAAATACCCCTCGACTGAAGAATGGATAAGGAAAATGTGGTACATTTACACAGTGGAGTACTACATAGCAGAAAAAAATAACGACATCTTGAAATTTGCAGGCAAATGGATGGAGCTAGAAAACATCATTCTGAATGAGGTAACCCAGACCCAGAAAGACAATTATCACATGTACTCATTCATTAGTGGTTTTTAAACATAAAGCAAAGAAAACCAGCCTACAAATCACAATTCCAGGGAACATAGACAACAATGAGGACCCTAAGAGAGACATACATGGATCTAATCTACAGGGGAAGTAGAAAAATACAAAATCTCCTGAGTAAATTGGGAGCATGAGGACCTTGGGGGAGGGTTGAAGAGGAGGGGAGAGGCAGGGAGGGGAGCAGAGAAAAATGTAGAGCTCAATAAAAACAATAAAATTAAAAACAAAAAGAAAGTGAATGGTGAAAAGCTAGACAGGAGAGAGGGAGAGATTGACATCCAATCCAGAAGCCTGGATTCAGCCAGAGAAATACAGCATAACTTTGCATGGAATGAAGATCTGAGCAGTGGCTGAGTTGATTGGTTGTTTTTAATGGGGCTGAAAGTCAAATCCAAGGCCACAAGGATGCTGGGTAAATCTCTACCATTGAGAAATTTCCACAAACCTTGATGGCTGACAGTTGATCAGGAGAATGACATTTGAAAAGTATATGATGAAATAGTAAGAAAATTAAAAATTAAAATTGTGTGTTTATCTCAATATATTTATGAAAAATCACAGGTCTTAAAAATGTAATAACAAGTGGCTACATTGGTCTAAATCAGTAGTTCTCAACTATGGGTCACAACCCCTTTGGGGGCGGTGTTGAAGGACCTTTTCACAGGGGTCACATATCAGATATCCTGTATAGATATTTACACCACGCTTCATAACAGTAGTAAAATTACAATTATGAAGTAGCAACAAAAATAATTTTGTGGTTGAGGCCACCACAGCATGAGGAACTGTGGTAAAGGGTCACAGTATTAGGAAGTTTGTGAACTACTGGTCTAGATCAGTGGTCTAGACTGGTAGTCTTATGTTTGAAGGAATTAAATTGATATAGGCTGGCATTACAGAAAACACAACCAATCAAAATACAGAGTTGTTGGGGCTTGAGAGACGCTCAGTAGTTAAAAGCACTGGCTTCTCTTCCAGAGGACCCAGGTTTGATTCCCAGCACCTACATGGCAGTCGACACCCATGGCAAAACACCAACTCACATAAAATAACAAAATAAAAACCGGAGTTGTGGAGCCTAGTACCAAGACATAGATCTATAATAGAACTCCCACACCTAAGGCCCAGGGAACATCATGGAAGAAAGGGCAGAAAGATTGTTTAAAAGCCAAAGGTTTGGAGAGTTTGCTGTGAGACTATGTTTCCTACTAATGTCAGGAGCTACACAGGGTCTCACCAACATGACTGCCCAAATGTGAGCTGAACAAAGACAGCAACAGACATGCCAAAGTAGACAGGGAAAAGCCCATGAAGCCTCAGCCCTACACAAAGAACTAGGCAACTAAGGGATATGGTCGTCCAGGTAAGAGCATACCAATTGGTTATCCAACACCAAATGGTCAACCCTAAAAACATACATGCAAGTAACATTATGTAGACTGAGCAGCTTATATTTATGTATTTAGGAGTATATATGTATGTGTATATATGTATGTATGTGTATGTATGTATATGCATGTAACAACAATGAAATGGAAATGGAGGCTATGAATTTGAAAGGGATCAGGGAGGGGTATATTGGAGGGTTTAGAGGGAGGAAGAGAAAGGGGTAAATAATGTAATTATAGTCTTAAAAATAAAGTAAAGGGCTGGAGAGATGGCTCAGCGGTTAAGAGCATTGCCCCGCTCTTCCAAAGGTCCTGAGTTCAATTCCCAGCAACCACATGGTGGCTCACAACCATCTGTAATGAGGTCTGGTGCCCTCTTCTGGCCTTCAGGCATACACACAGAAAGAACATTGTATACATAATAAATAAATATTTTAAAAAAAAGTAAATTTAAATATTGACATAGGTCAGTTGATTCATCCAGCGTAACTCAAGAGTTACTGTCAACCGTCATTTCCTGGGTTGTAATTTATTGTTAATTACAGATAAAATGACTTATACCCACATTAAGATGTCCCAGAAGGAAAGTAGGAAGGAAGGAAGAAGGGAGGGAGAGAAGGAGGGAGGGAGGGAGGGAGGGAGGGAGGGAGGGAGGGAGGACTCCAAGAACAAACACTCACCTTGCAACTGTCCTTATTTGTCTGAATATCGCCAGCACAAAATTCGTCCTCCTTGATGACGGACTCCAGTTCTGGGATGAAACTGCCGATTGGGTTGTACAGTTGTTCACACCCCTCATTGCTAATGAGGGGTACTTCAACTTCGTGAAGGGTAGAGGGGTAAAGACCTGTAGAGGGCGACAGCAAGGAAAGTTTGTAACAGCCTGGAAAATGAGCAGGGTCCCCGTCAGAACCAGCCCACCTTCCAGCCATACTGCCTATGGAGAGCTCTGAAATGCTTAAATCCAAATAAATGAATTTGAATGGTTTCAGTTTGTGCCAGCATCCTAATAAAGAATATTCGCATAACTTCTGATTAAGTCAAAATGTAGGTAATCTAAATTATTCTAAAATTGTTCTCCTCATTTTTCTTAAATTTCTGAATTATCTCTACTTCATTCTGGAAAAAGTGTTAACACACATTTTTATAAACAAATTAACATACACACATCAAAAAAAAAACTAGACTTTCCAAACATTAAGTCAGGTTTAGTTGTCTCTGAAGGAGAGGTAACTATATGTTTAAATTGTTAATATTTGCTCAGTTACAAACAGACTCTAGGCATGATATAGTAGCAAACAAACAGGTAAATGTCAAAAGGATATTTTATTTGAAGACTTGTAGATTGATTTAATCTAGCTGAAAAATATTAGCCAGAACCAGGGGTGGTGACATACATTGATAATTCCAGGAGACTAGGATAAGGGAGCGTGAGTTCAAGGCTAGCTTTGGCTACTGAGCAAGTTTAAGGCTTGCCTGAGCTACACAAGAACCTGTTTTAATTAATTAATTGTTACCTTCCTGAGTCATTCCCCATCCAGTCACCCAGCAAGAAGCTGGCAGAGGAAGCTGCTGCTTTGAGACACTGGGCAAGCAAATGGGTAGAATGAGGGCGGTGAAGGTGACCTTGCATGACAGTCTCAGCAGGGCAATATCTCTGTTTACACCGTGGTTTTTGGGATAGGTGATGATTTTGGACACATAGTATTCTTTGCCTTTACTTGAGGCAATGGATCCAAGCCGTACACTGTATAAAGAAATAAACTGTTCCCTAAGAGGAAAAGACAGAAGAGAATAAAAGTGACGTGTTGGCCTACAGCACATCAGAACAAGCTGCCTGTCTATAGCCCAAAGTCTCTGAAGAAGAAACGGTGATACTTCCAGGGTTCAGTTAATCTTGAGCTAAGATTAGTTTGTGTCTTTTTCTTATCTCCTGTACCCTGTCCTTGCTTCTCTTCCTGTGGTCTCCTCTTACATGTTGGTGGCCAGAATTTGCCCTACATATTCTCCCTGATTCCCCCACTTAACCTCTTCCACATGGTTGTGTGTGTGTTTGTGTGTGTGTGTGTGTGTGTGTTGTGTCAGGTGGTCTCATAAGATGTACAAAATAAATAACCTAAGTAGTGTCAGGCAATCCGTTACCACCACCACCCCCTTCTTTGGCCTTCTGCCTTTTTGTTCTAGACTACCTTACCTTCTGCCATCTTGGTTTTCTTGGGAATTCTCTTGTGCTATAGCCTACCATTTTGTCTAGATCCATATCTTCCTGCTCCTCCCTGCTCATAGGCATGAGTGGTAATGGTTTTGTGGCTTTGAATATTTGTAAATGTCTGTGTTTATACGCTATCTATTCACAGTTTGTATGCGGGTAGAACATACAATCCTGAGCTAGGAAGAAACTCTCCCTCAGTGTTTTGAACTCACTCTCCCATTTTTCTGAGTTTTCATGGTTGTTCGTGAAAAAGCCTTTTGATTGCTGTGCATACTAGTGTCTGTTGTTGCACAATGAGGTGCTACCATGTTCTGTTGTGTAAATGAAAACATATTTGGGGCTCAGAGTCTTCAAGTCAGGGACCAGGTGTGCCTACATCTCAGGGTCTCTCGAGCGGCTCCAGTCAGGGCTTGAATCGGGGAGAATCTGTTGCCAGCTCACTTACATTGAGTTGGAGTCTTTGTGAGGAGCCAGTTTCATGCGGTGCTGACCACACAGCAACTTGTTTTTACACCACAGCTCTGAAAGCTCAGATAGTGTTTGCAAGACCCAAAAGCTCAAGACAAACCCCGCAATGGTTTCAGAAGTGAGTGAATGCAATGGAAGGCGTCGTCTACACCCGATCTCCTGGTTGTGTTCACTCCAGGATGATGCAGGCCTCCCTGATGCCCTGCTGATCTTAACACTAGCGCTAGCCTATTGGTTCCCCTGATGCCATCCAAACACCCGCGTGTCCGCTCCCAGACTCAGCTTACTTTTTTATGCAGTGTGCCGCTGTCACTACCCAGCGCTCGCTGACGAGGGAACCTCCACAGACGTGAGTCTGGTCATACTGCAGGCTGACCTGCCAAGGCCAGCGCCCCAAAGCAGCAGGTTGGCCACCCACAATGCGACCAGAGTATACAGGTCGTCCACACACTAGACAAAGAGGAGAAGGCGCTGTGCACACTGCGAGTTCTGCCCAACCTCTGGCCTCCATTTTATCATTGTCCCCAAACTCCCATCTCATCCTTTTCTAGGATGTAAGGCCTCCTTAAAACAACTAACACTTCCCAATTCCAGTTTTCTTTTTCCTGAGTTCTATATTCATGTGCTTTAAGTATATGGGTGTTTTTAACCTGCATGTACGTCTGCACATCAGAAGAGGGCACAGGGTTCCATGGGATACAGTTACTGACACTTGTGAGCCGTCATATGGATGCTGGGGATTGAACCAGCCCCAGGACCTCTGGGAGAGCAGCCAATGTTCTTAACCACTGAGCCAAATCTCCAGCTCACCCCCACCCCCAAATTCTAGTGTAAAACCCAGCAGCTCTAAGCCAGGGTGGAGACTACTCACCTGATTGCAAAGTTTTCTTTTTGGTAAAAGAATATGGGCAAAACCCTACAGAAAACACACCATATCATTAGTACATAGTAACATCTTGTATTTGAACTCACTGTTGAACAAGAGCTTTCTAGGTCGGCTGTAGGGCTAAAATTTACAGCTACAGGGATTCCTGATAATTATATATACCTACCTACCTGACTATAACAACCAAAGCTTACCATTTGCTTTATGATTCATTATCAGGAACATCAAATGTGTTCAGTTGCATTACAGTGATGCCCTGGGCAGCTTCTGAGATTTACAGACTGTTTATTTTTATGTTGTTTTCTTTAACTGAATTGTCATTTTACAATATTTTGTGTCTTTTTTTTTTTTTGCTACTTCTTACCTCTTTGCTACTGACAGCATAGCCTTCTTTTTAATTAACTGTAGGCCAGAGAAATAACCTGACAAGTTGTTTATTATGCCAGTACTGCCTCCAGATTCCTCTACCTGAAATGCGGTTTTCCAGGGCCTGGGTCTCCTCTAACTTGCTCATTTCCATGAAGTCATCCTCTCTGAGGGAATAGAGGAAGTCCTGAGTGAATGTATACCGTTGACATGGACCCTAGCCTCAGACCTGTGGGAAAACGGCAAAGCCCCTACCTCACCCTAGGGGTGTGGCTCCTCGGGAAAGCAGAGCCTTCCTCTGGTTCCTGTGTGGACGGTGATAGTCGGGCCGGAAAAAGTCCATTGTAGCTTTTCTCCCACTAACGCACATACATGGCTTGAAGAATGCTCCCCAACAAACGCCGCTCCCAGGAGATTATCTAAACGTGCCTCCTCAATCCGGCTTCATAAAATACACCTTGCCACCCGGCAGTGGTGGCGCACGCCTTTAATCCCAGCACTCGGGAGGCAGAGGCAGGCGGATCTCTGTGAGTTCGAGGCCAGCCTGGTCTACAAGAGCTAGTTACAGGACAGGACCCAAAAAGCTACGGAGAAACCCTGTCTCGAAAATTAAAAAAAAAAAAAAAAGATACACCTTGCCTTTTTGTTTATCCGTACGTAACGACCCCACCCACCTTCTCGTTCAGCAGTGTATAATAAATGTACTGAGCTTCTGGGGTAATGCAGCACTTCATCAGAGAGCTCAGCCCACACAACCCCAGCTTTTCTATGTTTGTCCTTTCCTTTCCCTCATGGCCCCAGCAGGTGAATCCCTGGAGCAATGCAGGGGCGACCCCTTGTGCTGAGGGGGCTGGAACATGCCAGCCAGGAGCTCCACTTTCACCCAGTCTCTTTCCGGGATCTGCTCAAATTATTCCTTTTTAGAGAGGCCATTTTAGACTAACCTGTTAAAAATTACAGCACACCTCTTTTGTTGTTGTTATTTTGTTTGTTTTGTGCAGGCTGGGTTGGCCTAGAACTCCCAAATGTAGCGCTGTCTGGCTTCAAACATGTGATCCTCTTACTTCAGCCGTCCTGAGTGTTGGGATTATAGGCCCGTTTTCTCCCTGAACTTTAGGTGCCCCTTTCCCTTCATAACATTTATTAATCATTAATATGTTTTATCATTTACATTTTTAATGCGCTCACTGATTATAAGGCTCATGAAAACAGGGACCTTAGTTCTGTTTACTGCTTTATCCTATCACAGACGTTTAAACAAGGATGATGTCACTCACGAACAGCATCCATACATTATCATGCGATGCCTTCTTGAGTCAAACGCTTCCGCATTTCTCCCCTCTTGGCCCTGCCCCTGGGGCTCACCTAGCATAAGTAGCAGCAGGACCACGGGGACCGCAGGGCCCATGCCTCTGTCCTCAGGTGCAACACAGGAAGTTTCCAGACTCAGGGTCCAAGCCAGGGAAGGGGCTGGACCAGCTTCTCCGGTAGGTGGAGCACTCTGCTTCTTGCTCAGCTTCTTCCCGATCGCCTCAACCTGACTGCAAGGGAGCAGATTTAAGCAGGGCAACTGCAGGACCCTGCAGCGCCCCCTACTGTCACGGAGGAGCCTACTGTGTGGTGGAGTTTTTGCCTGGGGGGGCGGGGTAGTAGATTGCTAAGGGTTCTGGGAAAAAGGATTAGTGTTTTATTTGGCCGTGGCGAGAAGATGGAAGGGTTGCAGGATTCGATGATTAGTTAAAAAATAAGACAGGGGAAAGAGGAAATTAACCCACTATCTGAGTTAAATCCATTTTTCTTTTACAAATCAGGTGTACAAATAAACTCTAAGACAACGAACGATCGATCTGTGTGTAGAACATTTATTGTAATCTGGTCTCAGGTTTACAAATAAACTCTAAGACAATGATCTCTCTGTGTATAGAACATTTATTGTCGTGTAGCCTCGGGTTAGTACCTGGGGTCTGCGTGGAAAGGTCAGGAGCGGAGTGCGACAGGGTCACCTGGAGCAAACCTAGGGCAGATCAGAGCTGGGAAGACTTGGATGGTGTTGAGAGCTGGTAGCAGGGTTGTTCAGTATCTCCACTCAGATTCCTGGCCATTCGCACCTTAGAATGACGCAGCTGCGTTCCATGCCACGTGCCCCAGAGCTTCCTTGTGCTCGTTCTGAATTCCGATAATCTGTTCTTACCGGGACATAGGTTCTCTGTCTGTGCATTGTCTTTGAGGAAGGGCTCCTTACATAAGAAGAGGAGAGGGTGGGGACACAGAAATTTGGTTTTTTAGTGTAGTTGCCCTCAGCCTGACTCCCCCTAGTGTCATGAAAATGATCGTGTACGAGTGTGTGTGTGTGTGTGTGTGTGTGTGTGTGTGTCTGTGTCTGTGCGTGTGCTTTTCTTTTACATCCTCTCTTTGTGAGCTTTGAGCATCCGTGCTGACTTTGTTCTAGTTGCTGTGATATTTTTTTATCATCTGATAATGTATGACTTCCTGCTTTTCATCTTATTTTTTTTTCTGAAGAAGGAAGAAAACCGCTTATTTTAATAATCACAGCCACCTTTGTGGGTATTTCAAATAGTTTATGATGTTCGCAGACAATTTTATCTGTGAATGTAGCTTTTTAAAAAGGTCAGGGAGCTTTGAATAGCTCCATCGCAGACTGTTGGCCTAGCATACACAAGGCCCCGGTTTCTACCCCAAGCGCTGCAAAAAATAAAATGTCAGATCGTCATCTAGCATTTGCCTGAGTTGTGTCTGGAGATTGGGTAGTTTCCCCTTATCCTGTCACGATCCTTGGGCTCTGGGCATGTCTCTGATTTGTCTGGAGTAAAGACTTACGCAGACGCCATTGGGTCCCGTGATTATCCCAGGTTGCTTGGCGTCTGATATCACTGGGCAAAAGCGAGGTTCTAACTGACTCCCTTTATAATTTAGTTAGGCTGCTCACAGAGTCTCGTCTGTTAAAATTATTTATAAAAATGTATTTTGATAGCACTGTCTGTTAAATTGTGTCAGAAGCAAACTCTATGGGATGTAACGAGGCCATCGGCTTCTTATTCTGAAAATTGGAGTGGGGAAAAGAGTTGTCCTGCTTTTCCTGTAAAAATTATAGTTCATATGGATAGAGGTGGGCGGTCCTTGGGCTTCCCACAGGTCAGGGAACCCTGATTGCTCTTCGAGCAGATGAGGGAGGGGGACTTGATCGGGGGGAGGGGGAGGGAAATGGGAAGCGGTTGCGGGGAGAAGGCAGAAATCCTTAATAAATAAATAAATTAAAAAAAAATTATAGTTCATAGAAACCAATTAGGTTCAGCCAGTGAGGGACAGAGTACACCCAATGAATATGTTTGGACTAGCAGAAAATTTAAAAAAATTAGAACGTCGCTACTTACATCCCATCGTGAAAATTGATTAGGATAGTGGTCACTGATAGCCAGAAGCCTTAGTTGAAGGGTGGGTGCAGATCTCTGGCTGGTGGTACCTTTGAGCCCTGTGATCGAGTGTGGTGTGGCTAAAAGTGGGACAAGGCAGGCACATGCCTCTTGATGTCTCGAATTTGAAGCACACGGTACCTCCTGTGTAGCATTCTTGTCAGACAAAGACCTGAACTCTGGAGCTACTTCCATTTGCCAAAAATACAGGGGATAAAAGAACCAGTTAAATTACAACACAAGGAGGTAAATAGGCAGAGTCAGAATGTGGGACATTTTCTAAAGCTGCTAACCTAGTTTCTGTAGTAAGTTAACCTTGGCGGGGAGGAGACTGCACTAAGTTATAAGAAACTTTAAAGAGGGAGGTAAGTGTGTTGTCCCTGTTTGGATCTGATTTAATAAACCAACTCTAATGAGTCCTTTTTCTGTACGGAAGGAAATTTAATAGAGCTGGATACTGGATGAGGGGCCTTAATCTTGGTAGGTGTGACAATGACATTGGGTTACATAAGGAAATATATATTTTCAAAGAGCCCATGAGTCCTTTGTAAATCTGAGCTGGATTCTTCTTGTCGTTTCGGAGAACACTCCAGTGGTTTTTCATCTGTGGCTATTGTTTTCATGAACAACAACAACAACAGGTAACTATGTCCTCTACTGGAAGATCCAATCTGGGGATGGCTTATCTGGTAAACAGCTTGCCATAGAAGCCTGTCGACCCAAGTTCAATCCCTGGAACCTGCAGTAAAGGAGAGCCCTGACTCCTGAAATCTGTCCTCTGACCTACACACAGTTGCTGAGGTGCAGGATGTGAGCATGGATGTGCACACGCACACACACACACATATGCACTACCACCACCACTAACACTGATGATGATGACGATGATGATGGTGGTGATGATGATGAGCACAAATTTGAAAGGAAAGCCCAATCTGGTCTTGGTTCTTGAACCTAAACTAGAAAATTTTAGTCAAGTTTTAATTTCACTACAGTAAGTCATAGAACTAGTTACTATGTATCTATAGTACACCTATTATACCAAGCTCACACTCTGGACAGCCTTCTCTTCTCCCTGGCTCTTCATTTTCTTAGCTGGTCTGTGGGTATCCGCTGAAGGAGACTGACCCTGGTCAAAGCTCTGCCCTGTTTCTTGATTTATCGTAGGGATTTGTGGTGTGCTATACATTACAGGAAATACTTCCCATTTAAAAAATTTGCTTCTGCTCATCCTGAGGAATCCTTCTTTGTGGTTGTAACAGTTGGGTTTCTGTGGTGTGTAGCTCTCGTTTTATTCATTTAAAAACTAGATGGAAGCCAGGCAGTGGTGGCACATGACTTTAATCCCTATTGGAAGGAAGAGACCAGGGCATCTCTGAGTTTGAGGCCAGCCTGGTCTACATAGTGAGTTCCAGGAGATCCAGAACTACCCTACTGAGAAACCCTGTCTGGAAAAAAAAAAATCAAAAACCAAACAAACAACAAACTTCCCCCCAAAAAAACTAGATTGAAGCAAGGCACACACCTGTAATCCCAGGATTTGCAATGAGGAAGCAGGAGGATCAGGAGTTCAAGATCGTCTTTAGCAGCAAAGGTGTAATCTATCGGTTATATTAGCCCCTGTGTAGACAGAAATTTCTGCCCCACCCAGTCCTGCTGCCGTTCAGTCCCAACCCAAATAAGCATACAGAGGCTTATATTAATTATAAACTGTTTGGGCTATTGCTCAGGCGTATCACTAACTAGCTCTTACAACTTAAATTCACCCATAATTCTTGTCTAGGTTTAGCCATGTGGCTTGGAGCCTTTACTCAGTAAGGTATTCTCATCTTGCTTTCTCCACATCTGGCTGGTGACTGACTCTCTGCCTTTCCTCTTCCCAGAAATCTCCTAGTCTGGTTGTTCCTCCTATACTTCCTGCCTGGCTTCTGGCCAGTCAGCATTTTATTAAACCAATATGAATGCAAATCTTTACAGTGAACAAGAGCATTATCCCAAAGCACCCCTCTCTGGAAAAACCAAACCAAGGAAACACCCATCTGTACTGCACCTGGGTACTTCCCATTTGTTGGGCACGGTGAGAAGATTAAGGAGATATCTAGGGCGTTTGTGTCTTCTCTCAAGCTGTTCATACCTGCTCAAAAGGAGAAATGAAGAGCTACAAATGAAGACATGCACTCCAGTGAGACGTCTGATAACTGGGCTCAAAGGGTTGATGCTATTCTGGTCTAATAGAAGGAAGAACCTTTGACAGGGCTTTTCCACCATGAATGACAGAAACTTCTGTTGGAAAGAACCACATGTCTGGAGTCAGGCAGTTCTGGATAAATCTGTTAATATTAGCTCAGTTGTTTCTTGGTGCTTTCATTTGTAGACGTGAGATAAATAATAACATTTAATTGTTAAGACTAAATAAGGTGTTACTGAAAGTGAACAATGTAGTGTCTACAACTGAGGAGGAATAATAATAAAGAAAATGTAAATGTGTGCCGTAGTTAAGACATGAGCAAAGATGTCACACCACCTAAGAATACACTGAAGCAGGTCTTTACACACATTGACTTGGCTGACCTCATCTCAATCTTGGTTCTAGGCCTTATCTTCTTGGCTTCTGGAATTCCAGGCTTGTCAGAGCTCCCACAAAAGATTCGATTTATTATATTTTAGACTTCCAAAAGAAACCAGAGTCACTTTTTACAAGGGGAATTGCTTATTTCCTCATTATTTAAAACTTTTATTTTCCCAACCAGGCACCTCCCTGGTTATGTGTAGGGAAGCCACACGAGGAGGTTGGTACGGTTTGCAGCGCCTGAGAAGAGCAAGTGGTGTGGCTAAACAAGACCCTTTGATGCACTGGGATGAAATACTCTTACAAACTAATCCTACTTAGAAAAATGGTGTAAAAGCCCTTCTCCACACGATCAATCTAAGAAAATGCAACACTTTTGTTTGAATTTAGGCTCTCTTCCCTCAGAAGCCAAAGTTCTTATAAATATATATAGTTAACCAATTTCTTCTCTTAGATTCCATGTTGACTACTGGCTGTTTTTCTGCAGTCGGTGTTTAATGTTGTGGGCAAGAATTAACTTTTCCTACAGATGGTCTTCTTCCAAGTGTGTTGCCTTGAAATCATTCTCAAGTTTAGTTTATTCCTAGAATACACGAGGAATAAATTGATGGAAATCTTTTGGTTTTCTTTTAGATGTAACTCGATAATTCTGTCTCACCTATTAGGTATTATATTTAAGTTTTGGTTTTAAAAGTTTGCAGGACTGGGGACTGTAGTTTAATAGTAGAATACTTGCCTGGTGTGTACATGCATGCACAGACTCACATGCACGCACGTGCGCGCACACACACACACACACACACACTCATGATCTACTACTATAGGGCAGAAGGTGTGATGAGGCTACATAGTAATCACAGCTCTGGTTTCCAACAGTCAGCAGTTAACTTTCCTGTTTGCTGTATTATCAGCAGGCATGAGCATCTTCTGTTGTGTCTATTAGAAAGCAAACTCATGCCTTAAGATCAGAATTGTATCCCATCATTTGCAAAGTGCCTTTCAGCTGTTTTATGATTCTATAACACTAGTTTATCCACTTGCGGGGTTTGGGCTCTAATATCTCGATACATGGCTTCTTTCACATTCCTTTATGTTTCTACATATTTGGCATCTCTTTCTTATGCTTAAGTATTCTCCAATGTCAAGTAGAATAAATTGTAGTCATTTGAATCTTGATCATGATTTGTGTAATTTTACACTTGGGAATTATTTTCAAAGTTCTTAGCACTTCATATGTTTGGAAAACTATATATATATATATATATATATGGTTTATCTGCATGTATGTCTGTGCCCAATGTGTGTGCCTGGTGCTCACAGAGGCCAAAAGAGGGTATCAGATTCCCTAGGACTGGAATGACAGACAGCTGTGAGCCACCACGTGGGTGCTGGGAATTGAGCCCAGGTCCTCGGGAAGAGCAGCCGGTGCTCTTAACCACTGAACTTTCTCTCCATCCCTGGGAAGCTTTTAACACGGTCCTAATTTAGTTTACCATTATGTAGCTGCGTTTTTGTGTAGTTATTAATGAAAGCTGTTAATTTCAATAGTGATTTCTTCAGTGAACTATGAGATGCTTGCTTTGCTATTTATTCTTCATTCTTCATTCCGCCTGTGCCAGAACACCTTCCTATAACTAAGTTTTACTTTTATCTATCCTGTGATATATTGTGTTAGTATTCTATAAAAAGAAAAAAGGACTTAGTCCTGGCCAGTGTGTATGCCATGTTCTTAACTACCCATCTTTGTATGCCAGAGCTTAGGGAAAGAACAATAAGGCAGTCTTGCATGCGTTACGAAAGATGTTTTTAGACTGTTCTCTGTCCATGCTGAATATATCTTTAATAAAAC